ACGACAACACGCATAGTCGCCTTTAAAAGTAAGCATGCGGGTTTACTGCAGGGCTGTTCTACCCCGGACCTTCACGGGTCAGAATTTCTGTAAGCCGTGGCATGACATTGTTACGCGTTGTTTAGGTTGAAATCAGCAACGTGTTTCCACATCATTCCGAGGCTAGAGAATAATCCAAGTTGCTTCAATTTTCAATATCGGGTGTGTGAACTTCGAGGTGTCAAAATGTATGCCAAAATCACATCGTGCAAGGGTTCTGCTACGTATTCTATGCTAAGCGGCAAACAGAAACGCGTCAGTTTGGAATTTTCCTTCGTAGAAACGGATAACTGTAAACTCATTTAATCTTTTGATTGTATGTGTTTGACAACATCTCCAACCTTTTTCCAACTTTACCTGGCAAAGACATTCCTTCCCAAACTCAGGAATGAAACCTAGAAATGGGTTTCAAAACGCAACCTGATCTCGGAGATGGTACGATGTTCTCCGGCGTTTCATAGCTCATGCTGCTGCAGGTGCTGTTCACAAGGCCAGCAGATAAATGCACCCAAAACCTGGTAGAAGCATTCACATTACAACGTCAGCAGAGATACCGACTCACGACAGCTCAGAGGAACCAGGCGCTAGAAGACTCAAAGGCGGCCACACCTGCACAAGCCGTTGCCAATCACTTCAGGTCAGCGTTCGGATCATCTACGAATGCAGCTTAACGTTCCGGGCCTCTAACACAACAAAAGATCACCCCGTATTAGCGACCAAAGGGTGACCACAGACGACAAAACCGTCGTAACATTGCGACAGCATGTACTGAATCAACGGTATTCAGAAACGCGCCAATGGTGGAACACACGGAAGACCAATCGGTGCAGATACAGAGTGCGCCGACGTCTTAGCAGCGGGAACCTCCATTACGTGACCTTACCGTGGACCTATCCTCACCCCTCGTCATCGTCGTGAACGTCTACCAGTTTGCCCTAACACACCAAAACTGGCGATACAGGCAATGGAGAACTGTTCTGTTCCGCAGATGAGAGTCGGTACTGCGTATCAACTGCAGATGGCAGAACAAGAATATGGCGACGACGTGGCAGGCGTTGCTCCAGACCAATGTGTTATGGGGAAAGAGACTCATGGGCAGGTGCAAGTATCATGGTATGGGGTGGAATGGCCTGAACAGAGAGTGGGTCCTGTGGTGTTCAGAACCTTGGTCAGGGAGGGAGGCGGCATCACAGCGGTGCGCTTACATCGACCAAGCTCTCAGACCCAACGTCTTACCACATTTCGCGTCTACCGGAACAACATTTTCCCGCATGTATATAGGCCGGGCCCATACTGCCCATAGAGCTGCACGGACTTCCTGCAGCAGTGCGGTGTCAACATTATGCAGTGGCCAGCCACTGAGTCTGATTTAAACTCAGTTGTATCTTTGGGATAAAATTCAGAGACTGAATAATGTCATACAATGGCCGAACACAACCGATTTATTGCGCCAGGCCTTTCTCAGAGTGTGGTTCAAGGTGCCAATGTCCTTCATCAATCGATTGATGCACTCCATGCATAGACGCTTTGTGCTGCAGTTATTGCTGCCGCTCGTGGTGGTCACGCTAGATACTGAAGTCAAGAGTCTGAATGGACTGCAAACGTTCTGCGTAATGTCTTGGAATTGTGTTGAGTTATTCATTGATGTGTCAAAGATTATTGTACACAAAATGTGTGTTTGATCTGCTCATTATGTCCATTTCTGTAATAGTTTGATTACATTGCCTATCTAATTTTGAATTCACTGACGTTTATTTTGCTGCTGAGTATATGTTGAGTTACTTTTATTAGCTACTATTATAGCTTATATTTCGTACAATTTTATGTAATGCGCACAGTTAGCATATGTTTTCGTGTGTATATATAGGGTTCGCTTCTTCTATTGGGATATAAAACTTACTACACAAGATCCTGGTGGAAACTGATAACACAGATAGTTAACGTCAAAGATAAGGGTATGCACATAAAGGAGCATCAGAGTTGCAATACAAAGTACATAGGAGCACATAGTCGAAATCTATAAATTTTAATAAAACATGTCATCAAGAAACAATACCGTTTTGACACATAAATGCCGGTTTCATATACTGGACAAAATAAGTTAGGGATGTTGAGTATTTTTATGATTGATATTGATGTGTCCAATGAATAAATACATCATTATTCATAATTTTAAAATTAACATATATCCTAACTATTTTGTCCAGTATAAGACCATCATCTTTTAAACCACAAAGTGATTTACAGCTTATCTAACAGCCTTGCAAATACTCCACACATCCTGTAAAACAGTTCGAGAGGGGCAGCGCACTATGCAGCATTAATGTGAGCAGCAGGCCTGTCTTTCCAACTCTGCTTGGTTAGCTACACACTACAGCAGCGTGATGCGTGACTACACACGTTATTTAATGGTGTAATTATTCTTGCCAATATGTACAGGTTCAGCAATGCTCTCCTTTTCCTTCTCTCAAAAAAGTAAGAAAGAACTTTAAGCTTTAATTTTTATGTAAATAAATGTGAAATGAGACAAAATATTGTCCTCGTATATGGTATGTGCACTCTCTTAGGATATCTTTGGTGAGTGTTGAACGTTGTATAACGCTGCGCTCAGCAATATTCCAACTATTGGCCAGCGTTCTGTAAATAAATCAGTATCTAGACCAGACAGGCCAGTAATCAACATCATGAGCATAGATCTGCGCAGACATGAAACGATGACCACCTCATCACCATTGGTGGCCTCTCATGCCACGCAAGGTTTGCTGAATACCAATTCTTACCCGGAACTTATGTATTTCATGTCTACAATTTTGTTGGCAATCTGCATAGCCTGACTTTATATTGTAGTTTGTTCTACTATATTTTTTAAAAAAGATTTCAATTTTTCATACTAGTTATATATCTATATCTGTGATATTCTTACTTTCATATGTGATACTCTAGTTGTTCCTTGACAGTTTGTTTTTATAACTTCAATATGTTTTTATGAATTTAGAACCTGGCTGAAATACTGCTAATGTGACTTTATATTTTTGACTCACTCGCTCATGTCTGCTTTCATGCGACTATTTACATTGTCCATGTTTGATTACAGGTAAGTGCTTACCTTTCACATCAGTGTCATATTTTTTGTAAGATTCTGTTTCAGCTCCTGCCTGCAATTAAATCCAAGGACATATCTAAAGGCAATTGTGTCTGAATCGTAGATCCTGAAAACATGAATAGAAAATACATAACACACTATATTTTCTCAAATGTTTCAAATGCTACAGAAGGATCAATCTCACTGCAATAGGATATCACTTATGCTTGCCAGATATTCTTGATCACTTGCACCAAGGAGGTTGGCACCCTTGACATTGATTGGTTGTATATGAAGGTTCCCTGTAATCCTTGCTACTCTTCTGAACCTTTGTTTCGGTATTCTTCTTCAGTGACGTAACAATACATACATGTAACTGTGGATGTAAAGTACCTGTTTTAGCAGGCCCGGTATGGCATCCGTTGTGTCTGCAGATTAGAATGAAAGACATCTTTTCAATACACTTCATACTTTACTCTTGGGCCATCATAAAGGACAAATATTTCAAAGTAAAAACTGTTAAGGATCTTTTTAATAATTTCAATTATCATTTTATTATCGAAGTTTTAAAAGAAATAGAACTGATAGATGAATTTCGATTCATATGTTTTGCACATACATGCATTTTTACTATTGGTGATTTAAATCAGAAACTGAATTTGGCAGTAGCTGTACCTTCGAAGGGGGTTGACGCAGCGTACACATATTGTCCTCCTGAGAGGGTACGTAAGACCCAAAACATTTCAAGTACATTTAAGGTTTTTCATAGTAGTATTTTTGTCATTTTAATGTATGACTAAATCTCTCGCCAATGGCTGAAGGAATGGTGTGAATCCAGCTAGGGTCCATGCATGTAGCAAAGGCACTGTAAGTGCCCATGGTCCCTAGTATGGTGATCTACCTTCAGTTGTTGGCGATTACTAGCACATTTTTACATTGTATTTTCCAAAAATAATGTTCAACTTTTAAAGATATATGCTAGCTAGTTTTAAGTCATTTTGTTATAATGTAGTAATTTTACTGTCCTTCGTTGACAGGCTTTTATATATTATATGTATGTATTATGAATTTAGAACTAGTTTTAGACACGATATGGCTGAAATATTGCCGATGTGACTTTAAATTTTAACTCACTCACTCACTCTACTATTGGTTTGGTCTTTAATGACTCTGTGAGTTGGAGGAAAGAAGGAAGCACTATACACTTGAGCAAATGGCTGAAATAGAGTTGGGTGTAAAGTCTTTACGGACGGGTATGTGCCCACTCTGTTGGGACTCAAATATGTGTACCCGAATGATGGAATATTAAACATGTGAAAATGAGTTCCACTGTTTATTACAGCGAGAAAAAGCTAGGAAAAGGACGTTTCTGTCACTGTTCATTTTGGTCCACTAGATTTGACTCAGCAAGTGACAGCAGCCTCTCAGCACTTGGGAATAGACTCAGGTAGCTTTTGAAGAAAATGCCCTTATTTCCAGTCGAGCAGAGAAATGCTTTAGCAGCCTTATTTTTACAGTAATCCTCCCACTGATAAATTATACCACCTTATGTTCTCAGCAAATCCTTCAGTTATCAAAAGGTATCTTTGTGTTTGAAAAGAAATCTTGCAAGATAAGCTGTACCATTATCCACAACAACTGCAGAAGCAGCACACTGTCACAAGGTATTGCATATGCTGCACTATGGGGCCATAATGGCCTTAAATTCAAATATACGTGTCACTTGTCATAGTGATAAGCATTGCTAGAATAGCTGCCCTAGGCATCCCGTGAAAACTGGGACAACTAATGACTGATAACCGATTATTCTTGGCCTGGACTATTTAGCATTCATCTTATCAAATAGTTATTCAACCTACAAGTCAACTGCTTCTTTGAGGTATTTTCAGCCGTATTTGAGTTTCTTCAATCTGTAAATATAACACTACCGCTCAGAGAAATCACAGTTGTATTACATCATACAGTTACATAATGCATTTAACCGGGAATCACTCTGTAAACAAACAATTAAGCAATGTGATTTAATTAACAGTTGTTCCCTCAGTACTCTATTTGTACTCTGTATAATCATGTTGTAAAGGTATATTAAAATAGCATGCTGGCATTCATTAATTACCTGTTTCTTTAGTCCAGGTATAATGTTTCTCTCCAACTCTGTATAAAATAACAAGTACTGCAGTCAGCTTATTAGTACAGGTTATTTTAGTGTCTATGCAAATGTTTCATTCAAACATTTAAGAATACATTTAGATAACAAAACATAGAAACGGGTAAAGGGTGGACTTGCATAATCATTATTCTAATTATTTTTTTTACACAACTGACAAATTATCATGTACTGTGCTGCTCACCTGCTATTTCGTCTTTCTTGTGTTCAACGTCTGACATCAGTTTACGTATCTGGAACCACAAAGTGGTCTGTCACTTAGAAATTTGGAATACACTGTGTGCAGGTAAGGTACAAACACGTTCTCAGCACCTGCAGTCAAAGGACGATTATCCCTGGGCATCGGCTATGTTTTTAACCCCTTTGGCACATCGTAGATAAATTGGAAGTAAATAACTCAGAGTTATATTCTTACGGCGACCGATGGGCCACACTCACATCAGTAAGGGATCTGTGGCACATCCGGCAACCCACCGGTGACCCTACAGGCACCTGCCAGACCACCAGGGAATCGGACGATGTTTTCAGTGTGTTGGGGTGGTATGGTCACCGGAGGATAACAGAAAGGTTGCCTGCCGGGAATAGATCAGTATTCGGATCGTTCCCGTTCTAAGACCGTGGGATTAAACTAAGTCGGAAGGTGACAACCATAGTGGTGGGCAAGCATCGAGCAGGCACCGAACGGGTTACATTCAGTCACCCTGATTTTTGACATGCCTGGTCCGGGGTATAAATGATGGTCTGAATGGGTTGAGCAGCATAGGTCATCAGGATGCCGGACCCACCACACGTGCTCAGATTGGCCCGGCTCCGGGGGATCCGTGTGGAGCATTCCGGAGCTCTGCATAGGCCGGCGACCTTCCCACAATTAGGTATATGTGATCTTTGCATTTAAAAAATAGTTGTACATGTGAAAGAGTAAGCTGTTCCTAAAGGTAACATTTGGATATTTCCTAAGAAAGTGCAAACGTGTATCATAAACAAGGAATCCATCATGGAAATATACACATGGCAGTGACTACCAGCTTTGATAATGTCACCTTCAGTATATTTAGTGAGTGAGTGAGTGGGTTGACTTCAATGTCATCTTCAATTGATCTAATGAGTGGGTGGGAGAGTTCACTTTAATACCATCTTCAGTGTATCTAGTGAGTGAGTGAGTGGGTGGGTTGACTTTAATGTCACCTTCAGTATATTTAGTGAGTGAGTGGGTGGGTTGACTTTAATGTCATCTTCAGTATATTTAGTGAGTGAGTGGGTGCGTGAGATGTTATTACTTGAAAGTTACCCTCAGTCTATCAAGTGAGTGAGTGAATGAGTGAGTGAGTGGGTGAGGTGACCTTAATTTAGTGAGTGGGTGGATAGGTTGGTTGGTCATCTTCAGTATATTTAGTGAGTGAGTGGGTACGTGAGATTTTATTACTTGAATGTTAGCGTCAGTCTATCAAGTGAGGGAGTGTGTAGGCGATTTGTCCTTAATGTCATCTTCGGTCTTTAGTGAGTGGGTGGCTGGGCAATTGCCAGTTTCACTTTATTTGGAGATCAACATTGCATTGATAATGTTTAGGAGATCAATTATGTCTCAACATTAACATGAGATCAATTATGTCTCAACATTAACATGAGATCAATTATGTCTCAACATTAACAGGAGTGGTCAGTTATGTCTCAACATTAACAGGTGGTCAGTTATGCCTTGTGTTTGTCCTTGTTGAATTGTTTGTAGGATGTGTTTGGATGTTTTTGGTGAGGCTTCATGTACTTTAGTTTGAACGTTCAGGTCAGAATACCAAGATGTGAGAAGCACTTTACTGATGTGGCGCTGTGTTCTGATGATAAGTTGTCCCTGCTGCCAGTGCTTCCATCAAGATGACTCCTGGACACCTTGTGCCCAGAAGAAGAAGGTGGCGCTGCTTTGCCCAGAAGAAGGAATTGGCGCTGCTCAGATTGTGGTGTTGTATCACAGCTTGAATAGAGTCTTTGTCCGGAAGTTATTAGGAAGGAATTGGCACGCTTGAGAAGATTGTGGTGAAAAGTTGTTGTTGGTTACAGCTTGAGAAGAGTCTTTGTCCAGAAGTAGGAATTGTCGCTGCACAGACAGTGAAGTTGCAACGGCTTGAGAAGAGGCTTTGTTCAGATTGTGGTGTTGGCAGAAGAAGAATTGGTGCTGCTCAGATTGTGAAGTGTTGGCGCAGCTTGAGAAGGCTTTGTTCAAAGAGCAAGGAATTGGCGCTGCTCAGATTGTGGTGTGTCTGCCCAGCTTGAGAAGAAGCTTTGAAGAGGGTGGTGCTGCTCAGATTGTGGTGTTGGCACAGCTTGAGAAGAAGAAGCGAAGGTCGATTGCTGCTCAGATTGTGGTGTTGGGCTTGACAGCTTGAGAAGAAAGAGAAGAGGTGGTGCTGCTCAGGCTTGAGAAGAAGAATGGTGTTGCTCACATTGGCAGCAGGCTTGAGAAGAAAAGAAGGAATTGCTGCTGCTCAGATTGTGGTGTTGGCACGGCTTGAGAAGAGGCTTTGCAAGAGCAAGGTGGCGCTGCTCAGATTGTGGTGTTGGCACAGCTTGAGGAAAAGAAGAAAGCAATTGGTGCTGCTCAGATTGTGGTGTTGGCACAGCTTGAGAAGAAGAAGCAATTGGTGCTGCTCAGATTGTGGTGTTGGCACAGCTTGAGAAGAAGAAGGAATTGTTGCTGGCTCAGACAGCTTGAAAGAAGAAGAATTGGTGCTGCTCAGATTGTGGTGTTGGCACAGCTTGAGAAGAAGAAGGAATTGGTGCTGCTCAGATTGTGGTGTTGGCACAGCTTGAGAAGAAGGAATTGCTGCTGCTCGGGTGTGGTGTTGGCTGGCAGGAAGAAGGTGGTGCTGCTCAGATTGTGGTGTTGGCACAGCTTGAGAAAGAAGAAGGAATTGTTGCTGCTCAGATTGTGGTGTTGGCGGATGCTTGAAGAAAGAAGAAGAATGGTGCTGCTCCAGATTGTGGTGTTGGCACAGCTTGAGAAAAAGAAGAAGAATTGCTGCTGCTTTCAGATTGTGGTGTTGGCACGGCGCTTGAGAAGAAGGGTGGTGCTGTAGTTGTGGTGTTGGCGGGCTTGAGAGGGAATTGGTGCTGCTCAGATTGTGGTGTTGGCACAGCTTCGAGGAAAGAAGAAGGAATTGGTGCTGCTCAGATTGTGGTGTTAGCGGGCTTGAGGAGAAGAAGAAGAGGTGGTGCTCAGATTGTGGTGTTGGCACAGCAGAGAAAGAAGAAGGAATTGGTGCTGCTCAGATTGTGGTGTTGGCACAACGAGAAGAAGAAGGAATTGGTGCTGCTCAGATTGTGGTGTTGGCACAGCTTGAGAAAGAAGAAGAATTGTTGCTGCTCAGATTGTGGTGTTGGCGGAGCGAGAAGAAGAAGAAGGAATTGGTGCTGCTCAGATTGTGAGGTGTTGGCACAGCCTGAGAAGAAGAAGAAATTGGTGCTGCTCTCAGATTGTGGTGTTAGCACAGCTTGAGAAAGAAGAAAGGAAGTTACTGCTCAGATTAGTAGGGTTAGGGAGCTTGAAGGAAGAAGGAATTGGTGCTGCTCAGATTGTGGTGGGTTGGCGGAGCCTGAGAAGAAGAAGGAATTGAGATGCTGCTCAGATTGTGGTGTTGGCGGAGCTTGAGAAGAAGAAGGAATTGGTGCTGCTCAGGATTGGTGGTGGCAACAGCTTGGAGAAGAAGAAGGAATTGGTGCTGCTCAGATTGTGGTGTTGGCACAGCAGGAGAAGAAGAAGAAATCTGGTGCTGCTCAGATTGTGGTGTTGGCACGGCGAGAAAGAAGGAAGGTGGTGCTGCTCAGATTGTGGTGTTGGCGGGAGCTTGAGAAGAAGCAGGAATTGGCGCTGCTCAGATTGTGCTGTTGGCACAGCTTGAGAAGAAGAAGGAACTGGGTGCTGCCCAGATTGTGGTGTTGGCAACAGCCAGAAAGAAAAGTGGTGCTGCTCAGATTGTGGTGGCACAGCTTGAGGAGAAGAAAGGGTGGTGCTGCTCAGATTGTGGGTGTTGGCAGAAGCGAGGAAGAAGAATTGGTGCTGCTCAGATTGTGGTGTTGGCACAGCAGCGAAGAAGAAGGAAGGTGGTGCTGCTCAGATTGTGGTGTTGGCACGAGCGAGAGAAGAAGCAGGAATTGGTGCTGCTCGGATTGTGGTGTTGGCACAACTTGAGAAGAAGAAAGAATTGGTGCTGCTCAGATTGTGGTGTTGGCGGGCTTGAGGAAGAAGAAGAATTGGTGCTGCTCGGATTGTGGTGTTGGCACAGCTTGCTGCTCAGAAGAAGAATTGAATTGTGCTGCTCAGATTGTGGTGTTGGCGGAGCTTGAAGAAGAAAGGAACTGGTGCTGCTCAGGATTGTGGTAGTGGCACAGCGAAAGAAAAGGTGGTGCTGCTCAGATTGTGGTGTTGGCACAGCTTGAGAAGAAGAAGGAATTGGTGCTGCTCAGATTGTGGTGTTGGCACAGCGAGAGAGAAAGAAGGAATTGCTGCTCAGATTGTGGTGTTGGCACAACGAGAAGAAGAGGTGGTCGTTGCTGCTCAGATTGTGGTGTTGGCAGACGAGGAAAAGAAGGAGTGGTGCTGCTCAGATTGTGGTGTTGGCACAGCTTGAGAAAAGAAGAATTGGTGCTGCTCAGATTGTGGTGTTGGCACAGCAGGAAAGAAGAAGGAGTGGTGCTGCTCAGATTGTGGTGTTGGCGGAAGCAGAAGAAGAAGAATTGGTGCTGCTCAGATTGTGGTGTTGGCACAGCGAGAAAGAAGAAGGAATTGGTGCTGCTCAGATTGTGGTGTTGGCGGGCTTGAAAGAAGAAGAATTGGTGCTGCTCAGATTGTGGTGTTGGCGGGCTTGAGGAAAAGAAGAATTGTGGTGTTGGCAATTGGTGCTGCTCAGATTGTGGTGTTGGCTACGAGCAGAGAAGAAGAAGAGATTGAAAGAAGAAAGGAATTGGTGCTGCTCAGATTGTGGTGTTGGCACGGCTTGAGAAGAAAGAGGAATTGCGCTGCTGTAGATTGGTGCTGCTCAGATTGTGGTGTTGGCACAGCGGGAGAAGAAGAAATTGGTGGTGCTGCTCAGATTGTGGTGTTGGAGAAGAAGAATTGGTGCTGCTGCCAGATACAGTGTTGGCAGACTTGAGAAGAAGAAGGAATTGCTGCTGCTCAGATTGTGGTGTTGGCGGAGCTTGAGAAGAAGAAGAATTGGTGCTGCTCAGATTGTGGTGTTGGCACAGCGAGGAAAGAAGAAAGGTGGTGCTGCTCAGATTGTGGTGTTGGCACAGCTTGAGAAGAAGAAGGAATTGGTGCTGCTCAGATTGTGGTGTTGGCACAGCTTGAGAAATTGGTGCTGCTCAGATTGTGGTGTTGGCACAGCGAAGAAGGAATTGGTGCTGCTCGGATTGTGGTGTTGGCGGGCGTGAGAAGAAGAAAAGGTGGTGCTGCTCAGATTGTGGTGTTGGCACAGCTTGAGAAGAAGAAGAATTGGTGCTGTCAGATTGTGGTGTTGGCACAGAGAAAGAAGAGGTGGGTGCTGAGATTGTGGTGTGGCAAGAAGAAAAATTGGTGCTGCTCAGGATTGTGGTGTTGGCACGGCGAGAAAAGAAGGAGGTGCTGCTCCGATTGTGGTGTTGGCGGAGATTGTGGTGTTGGCGGAGCTTGAGAAGGAAGAAGGAATGGTGCTGCTCAGATTGTGGTGTTGGCACAGCGAGAAAGAAGAAGGAATTGGTGCTGCTCAGATTGTGGTGTTGGCACAGCTTGAGAAAGAAGGAATTGGTGCTGCTCAGATTGTGGTGTTGGCACAGAGCGAGAAAGAAGAAGGTGGTGCTGCTCAGGTTGTGGTGTTGGCACAGCTTGAGAAGAAGAAGGTGGTGCTGCTCAGATTGTGGTGTTGGCACAGCTTGAGAAGAAGAAGGGAATTGGTGCTGCTCAGATTGTGGTGTTGGCGGGCTTGAGAAGAAGAAGGTGGTGCTGCTCAGATTGTGGTGTTGGCACGGCGAGAAGAAGAAGGTTGGTGCTGCTCCAGATTGTGGTGTTGGCACGAGCGAGAGAAGAAGAAGGAATTGGTGCTGGCGGAGATTGTGGTGTTGGCACAGTTGTGGGAAGAAGAAGGAAGAATTGGTGCTGCTCGGATTGTGGTGTTGGCACGGCGAAGCTGGTGCTGCTCAGTTGTGGTGTTGGCACGGCGGAAAGGAATTGGTGCTCGCTCAGAAGAAGAAAGGATTGTGGTGCTGGCTCTTGAGATTGTGGTGTTGGCACGGCTGAGGAAGAAGAAGAATTGGTGCTGCTCAGATTGTGGTGGGCACAACGAGGAAAGAAGAAGGGTTGGTGCTGCTCAGATTGTGGTGTTGGCACAGCGAGAAAGAAGAAGGAATTGGTGCTGCTCAGATTGTGGTGTTGGCAACAGCTTGGGGAAAGAGAAGAGATTGGTGCTGCTCAGATTGTGGTGTTGGCCCGGGCGAGAGAAGAAGAAGGTTGGCTGCTCAGATTGTGGTGTTGGCACAGCTTGAGAAGAAGAAGAATTGGTGCTGCCTCTAGATTTGGTGGTGCTGGCACAGCTTGAGGAAAGAAGAAGGAATTGGTGCTGCTCAGATTGTGGTGTTGGCGGAGCTTGAGAAGAAGAAGGAATTGGTGCTGCACGTTCAACGTCCACATGAACTGGCTTCATCTTCATTTCTGGCTGATACAATTATTTATTTTCGATACAAGGTTAACTGCTGATCAGGGGACATGATGAGCGAGCTGTCTAATGCGCCTGGCTGGGGATCAGCGAGCTGAGCCCTAAGCTGCCGGATCGACAAACTATGACCGGGTATAAAACTTTCAGTCAACGCTGCCCGCTGTTGGGTCATTGGCGAAACCATAAACAAAGCATTCTGCGTTCTGCTGTTTTATTTTGTTGACAGTTACATGAACAGATTCTTTCATACAAATGCATAAAATTGGTGATTTACAATGTGGTCGTTTAATCCTGACCGAAAGCATCCACTTGCAGTTTGAGATCGATTGGGTCGTTGGATGAAGAGAGATATTTACAAAAGAAACGCATTCACATGCATTTTCATGCTGCCAAGCTATAATGGTCCTAGCAACGGATTTAGATGTGTCACGTATTGCCAAACTCAGCTTTCACCAAACCATCTATGGTACGGCGTTGTTTCTTCGGTTGGTTTGTTGTTTAACGCAGTTTGTAAATAATCGAGTCTCGACCAACTTGATCGTCGATCTGCACAGTAGATGCATTGACGTAATGATAAACCCAGTCAGTGAACCTGACCATAGCCCGATCCGTTAGTCGCCTTATCTTACGACAGGCGTAGGTTAATGAAGATCAATTCTAACACGGATCTTACGGTTGTTATAATGAGTTCGTAATGAGTTTTCTTTGGGAAGGAACTAGCCAAGGGCGACGGACGCTGGTAAAATCGACTTGGGCGATAAAGAAAGCCACTTGTCCATAACATACGTGCTTTAAAGGTCATGGTCAAAAAAGTTGCAGTGTTATAAGAATTTGACTTCACGTTTAAAAATAAACAACTGCATCAGCAAAGAAAATCTAATGAGCAAACAAATTTTAAAAGATGGCTATTTACATGATGTTTCACAGCTGCTGTGTTTCCGTGATGATCTAAGACCGCGGTATTTGTATGTCTACGCTGGTTCTGCTAAATCTAGAATGTCTTAAGACTTTCTTCATTCTGTCGTTTCTTTCAGGTAAAATGATATTTTACCTTCCTCTCGATGTTTGTAATATTCCTCACGTTTAATCACGAAGAAAATATAACCTGTTCGTCCAGTAAGTTTCTCATATGCAACGCTTCAGTGCAGATACTTTCAAACCACGTTCATTATGATAAAAACGCGTATACCGTATGTTTTGTTTTTCGGAGGTTTTCCGCTTCTTCTTTGAGTTGTTAATCCTGAAATTCCGGACGTAATAATAGTTAACGGCCTGCATCGGTACCTTCAGCAACTTTCAGTTTGTTTAGGATAATCGTATGAAAATGCATTATGTGGGATATGTATCCATTGCCAGTACGTTGGTGGGCGGACAACCATGTAATGGACGCTTAGGCCTTCTTTAATTCATGAGCCGCAACAATTTACATAAAACATACTCATAGTCACCCCGAGCAGTAACATCTAGGTTTTAAATAATATTTTGCCTGTATGTATTTGCATAGAATATAAAATTGATCAATTCTGCGATAAACTGTTTGTGTACTTGTTCGTAATGGTGTAAAGGTGATAACGTTTGGATATCTATAAAAGTAGTTTAGTAGAAATATTTTCTTCTGGGGTGCAGAACAGCTGACAAACAATAAGAAATGGTACTCATCATCTACGAGTGTTTAAAATCACATAGTTGGCATGAGTCTCTTGTCGATTAATATCAGTATAGCATCCAGTTTCTATAAATAAAATGTGAGATGAACATCGGCAATGATATTAAAACTCGAACTCGGAACTCGGAACCATGCTGAGAATTACCAGTCAAACGTCTGCACTTCAAAATGTTTGTAATAAAACATTCGATTCATAACGTCAGTAGATTCGTAATGCTGCATGAATATCCTTAGTCTTTGAGCCAATTGGGGTAGCGGCTACCGTTTTGGTCCTACCATGCGTTTGGTCCTACCGTACGTTTGGTCTACCATGCGTTTGGTCTACCATGCGTTTTTGTCATACCATGCGTTTTTGTTGTGCTTCTACACCGTTTGACTTAACGTGAAGCAAACATCAGCTGACCATTGGGCCATCCGATAAACGGTATCGCTTGTTCTTACACGGTGTCCGGCTTGAACCGGGGTGGTATAATGCATATATACTGAGTCAAAAAGAAACTTCACATTCTTTCTTCGGGGGCACTATAAAAAGAACAAGAGATGGTAAGATGGTTAAATTGTTATTATTTCATTGCTGAGATCTGTGTGATGTACTCGATACACTGACAGTGCCATAATCAGTTCCATTAGGCTACACCGCCGTTCCAAAACATGGGTATACAAGAATGTCAAGTCACAAGAATAAAATGCGAAATTTCTCAGTTCAATATCGTGTATGGCCGCCCGCATTCACCACTGCCAAACACCGTCTCCTCATCGACTGCCTGATGCTTGTGAACACGTGGTTGGGGATTCTGCGCCATTGCTCTTGCAAGGCAGCGCCAAGTTCCTGCAAATTCTGAAAGTTGGTTCCTAAGACCACGAAGCCTTCTCCCAGTGCATCCCAAAACGTGCTCCTATTGGATTAAGGTCAGGGGACCTCGATGGCCAGTCCATGACGTTGATTCAGCGTTTTGAAGGAAATTTCGATGTCAACATCGCGGTATGCGGCCGAGCATTATCATGCTGGAACTGTAGACCTGGGCCATGAGCCGCCATGAAAGGAACGAAGTTCAGGGGTGAGCACCTGGTCGCGGTAAGCAGCAGCTGTGAGGAGGTTTCCACGGATGACCAGAAGTCGGGAACGGTTGTTCCCACAGAAAGCACCCACACCATGCAACTTCCGCCCCCGAATCTGTCGACTTCCCTGTACACAACATTGGGCATACCGTTCACGACGTCGTCTCCAGACTCTATGCCTGCCGTCCGCGAATCTGAGGGTAAACCTGGATTCATCGCTAAAGGACGACTCGATTCCAGTCTCTCTGGGTCCATCGGAGTGACGTTGGGCCCACAGCAGACGTTGACGTTGATGAAACGGCGTCAATATTGGCCCACGATATGGACGTCGAGAATGGAGATTGGCAGCCCGCAACCGATTTCGAATGGTCTGTGAGGACAGTCGACCTCTAAACATCTCAGCCCTGGTTCATTGTAGCCGGCAGAAATCTGTCACGTAGGTGACGTAGGACGATTGACGGTCTTCTGCTCGTGACGTCACGTGGACGACCCGACCTTGGGCGATCAGAATTGGTGCCAGTTTGTTGTAAAGACGACCTCGCAAAGTCATACACAGTACGACGGCTGCATCCCATTGCTCTTGCGACGTCAATAACTGATCTTCCGCTTGCAACATGCCAACGGCGTTCCGTTGCACATTTGACAATCGTGGCATTTCAAATTACCGTTAGAACTGTGGTTTAAAAGTGTTTTTCAATTCTTGAGGCCAATTGCAAACACGTGCATATGAAGAAAACTTCGATGCGAAGATCACGTGATCGACTGCGTGCAAAACCTGATTTGGCACTAACGTCATTTGCGCGACGAATGGATGGGTTTGAGTGGGTTTTGCTTACGTTTTCTAGAGTCGAAAGATAGGGATCCCATTTCGGATACATAGATGTATCATCAGAGAAAAATTATTCATTATTTTTCAAATTACATTTTGTGAAGTTTCTTTTTGACTCAGTATATTTCCTAGATCTATGTTCAATAGGAGATAGTAAAGAACTGAAATATGTACTTTGTTGACGGTACTCTGCACTGAATCTAAATCAGACATATTTTCCATTTCTCATTATTTGCCTTGCCAGTTACTAAAAAGTCTCATGGAAAGAATGTACAAAAACTTGACATGAGATTGTAAGCATGAAACGTAACGTCGTTGAGAAAAACTTTGGATTATTGAACTTTGTTCCCCTTCTGACAGATCATGGACATGCATATGTGCAATACAAAGAAGCATAATGTTATAAAATACAATGCATCCCAGAGGTATTATACGTCCCCGTCTGTGTGAACAGAGCATAACCTCTATAATGTCACAGAATTTGGTGTATATGACTTACCTTGAACTCCAGACTGCGAACACTTTCTATTCTATCTGTTGGTAAGAAAAACATTTTAAAATAGTTATCAACTTCTTGAATGTTTCATATAATATGCTAACACAGTTTTACAATGTAGCATATCTTAAAACAACATGCATCACCGATCTTTTTATATGATGTTGGTATGGATAACAACCCTACATTTAAACATACAACTGACGACCTTGACAATGATTGCTTTTAATCGCCGAAGGTCTCCATCACTGCAGCTCCTATTTTTCCTGCAATGCCTCAAAACACGTGGCTGAACAGTTTTTCCAATAACTTAATTAACTTTTTTTAGAAAAGTGAAACAGTTCCTGTATTCTTTAAAAATAAGACAGTTCCTGTGGTCCCAAAGGCGCTTGTATGCGACCTAAGTCTTCAGGCAAACATCCACGTTTCGCGTCCGCCAACCAACTCAGATGGAACAGAATTTTCGAGGCTTAAGTACACGTATAATATGGATATATTCTGATGGACACCTACCTTGTTTTCCTCCTCCTTTACCGAGAGTACACAGCGCAAATGAAGGAGCTAAAAAAACCACTACGAATGATTATTTCAGATCATTGTAATGGAATTAACATATGATATATTTGGGATTACCCTTTCCCAGCAAAGTACAGATTCTGGTACTTTTGACTGGTTGAGTCCCATCCGGACACCCTCAGAGTCAGACACCTAATCGCCAGCACACAAAGTCAGCCACCGTATTTAACCCGATCAGCCAGCACAGTTTCCACATCGGGGACTCAACCAAACATTTCATTACAGAGCGCCAGTATCGAAATATAGTCTAAATAAGGGCTAAATATAGTCGAGTCTTGACCAGAAAATCCAGTGATCAACATCATGACCACCGATCTACGCAACTGGGATACGATGACATGTGTCAACCAGTCAGCGAGCCTGACCACCGATCCTGTTAGTCGCCTCTTACGACAAGCATGGGTTACTGAAGGTTCATTCTAACCCGGATATTAAAGACATCTGATGACATAGAAAAAATATAGAACGGTAGACCCATATGTCTGCGAAGATTTTCCCAACTGAGCTAGCGTTGTCGGCCGTTTCAGTTCCTGTGGTAGGCGTCCATTGAACTTCATCAAAGTCATGTTATTTTAAGGAGAGTTCCTGAGAAGCAGCTATGTCATGTTGCGTCAGAGAAAGTCTGTTACAACCGATAGTAACGTTGATGGGGGTATATCCTCTACAACTATAGCGATATATTTGTACAAAGGTAAAGATCTTGATGTCGTCCCGACAGCGGTCAATATTGAAGAGTCCACCATGTCCAGCCACTTTCTATGTATATATTTCTTTACCTATGTATTTATGTATTCTCTCATGTACCACCGTTGGTTTGTTGAGAAATAAAGCTTCTCTGTCTGTCTGTCTGTCTGTCTGCCACTAACGCACCGGCTAGTTGCGTTGTGATGTCAACCTATACAGATTATACACGTCTGACATTACTTTTTCACTTGAGAAGAAGACCAATAGTTGTGTGAAGATCACCCTGGATACTCATAATGGGCCTATTTTTCAAACTTGACCACTGTTGAGTACTACCACCACCTTTTATATCACGCACCTTCACTGATGTCTCTACACTGTTGCCTGTCAAATTCGGATTGACTTTTATAACTCTACATGGACAAACACCTGAATACCTCTCTAGTCTTCTCTGTGAGTGCATCCAACCCGACCATTACGATCCCAAGATTCACCAGCTACTTATCATTCCTAAAGTTCGACTCTCATCCAATAGGAAAAGATCATTCCAACACTTAGCCGCCAGTCACTGGAACAACCTGCCCTCACATCATAGATGTTGAATGTTTGAACTCAGATCATTAAAAGCCTCTTTTTCCATCTTGCCTATTATTAGACTTCCTATGTTCCAGTTTGGACTTTAAGGTGTTCGGTAAGATAAATACGTTTGTTCACTGGTCCCTCCGGCCCGTGGGTTGATGTACCCTCGATGTTTTGTTTATGTTCCTCTGGCAGCC